GAGCTGGGCCATACAAAATTTCTAATTTTAGTTCTTTGAGAATTCTCCATACTTATTTGCATGACAGTTGTACTAGTTTGCATTCCCACCAACAATGTATGGAGGCTCCTTTTTCACTGCAACCTCACCAGCATTTGTTACTCTTTGATTTCTTAATAATTTCTATTCTTCCTGATGTAAGACAGAATCTTAATTATTTTAATTTGCATTCTCTAATGGCCAGAGATGGTGAACATTTTTTTTCATATATTTGTTGGCCATTTGTATTTATTTCTCTGTGAAATGTGTATTCATTTCATTTGTCCATTTCTTATTTGGGTCTTTTATATTAGATGTTCTAACTTTCTTGAGTTTTTTATATATTCTCAATCTTAGTGCTATGTCTGAGGAATAGCTAGTAAAATATTTTCTCATTCAATAGGTTGTCTCTTGACTCTACTAACTAGTTCCTTTGCTTTACAGAAGTTTTTAAAATTTGACGTTGATCCTGAAATATTGTTATTTCTTGTGCAATTGTGGTTCTGTTTAGAAAATTGTTTCTTATACCTGTGACTTCAAGTGTCTCACTTGTTGTATCTTCCAATAGGTTCAGTGTTTCTGTTTTAATGTTTAGACCTTTGATCTATTCTGATTTTAGTTTGGTACATGATGAGAGATATGGATCCAGTTTCAATGGTCTGTAAACAGTTATCCAGTTTTCCCAGCACCACTTGTTGTATAGTCTTATTTTTCCTCCAATAAATGCTTTTGACTCCTTTGTCAAAGATCAAATAGCCGAACTGGCTGGGAATGTTTCTGTATTCTTTATTCCATTGATCAGTATGTCTGCTTTGGTTCCAAGACCACAATGTTTTTATTACTGCTGCTTTGTAATATAGCTTGAGGTTAAGTAATGGATGTTTCTGCATTCCTCTTGTTGCCCAAGATTGCTTTTGATATTCTGGGTCTCTGTGGGTTCCGCATAAATTTTAGGATTGTTTTCCCTAGATCTGTGAAGTATGCTGTTGGTGTTACAATTGGGAGTGCATTGAATCTTTATAACAGTTTTGTAGTATGGCCATTTTGACAGTATTGATCCTGCATTTTCAGGAGCAGGAGACATCTTCCCATTTTCTGATGTCCTCTTCAATCTCCTTTTTCAGAGTACTGTAGTTTTCTTTTCTTTTTTCTGTTTTGGCACTGGGGATCGAACTCACAACCTTGTGCTTGCCAGGCCAGTGTTCTGCTGCTGAGCTCCCTGACCCCACATGGTAGTTTTCTTTGTAGAGGTCTTTAACTTCCTTGGTTAGGTTAATTTTTAGGAATTTTATTTTTTTTGAAGCTACTGTGAATGGTATTGTTTTCATAATTTCCTTCTCATTGAGTTCATTATTGGGGTACATAGAGACTACTGATTGTTAACTTTATTTCCTACTATATTGCTGAAGTTGGTTATTTATTCTGTTAGGTTTTTGGTGGAGTTCTCTGGATCTTCTATAGAGAGTCATCTGCCAATAATGATAACTTGAGTCCTTCCATATCCCTTTTATTTCTTTCTCTTGCCTAATTTCTCTGGCTAGTATTTTGAGTACTATTTTCAACAGTAGTGATGATAGTATGTATCTTGTTCCTGATTTTAGAAGGAATGCTTTTTGTTTTTCTCCACTTAATAGGATATTGGCTGTTGTTTTGTCTTAAATAGCTTTTATCAGATCTAGGTATGGCCTTTTATACCCATTTTCTTATCAAGAAGGAGTATTGGATTTTACTTAAAGCCTTTCCACCATCTACTGGTATAACCATGTGATTTTTGACTTAGTTTCTGCTTATGTGATTTATTGCATTTATCAACTTATATGTGTCAAATCATTTTTGCATCTTTGGGGCAAAACATACCTGATCATGATATTTGATCTTTTTGATAATATACTGCATTGTATTCCCTAATATCTTGTTGAGGATTCTTGCATTTATGTTTATTAAAGAGATTGGCCTATAGTTTTCTAATCAGATGTTAATTTGACTTTGAACTTGCTCTTATTTCCCTAATGTGAGCATTGTTTGCCATGAATTTCCCTCTTATGACTGCTTTCACAGAGTCCATGAGATTCTGGTAAGTTTTACAGGCATTGTTGTTAACTTCCTGAAATTTTAAAGTTTATTACTGAATTTCTTCTGACACCCACTGGTTGATTCATTTTTGTTCTGAGGTTTTGTGCTGTGTTTTAAAACCAACATGCATTTACTGAGCAACCACTCTGAGTCGAAAACTGTGTAGAAGAAGGAAAGATAATACAGACTAGATGTTGACATTTATATATATGTTGGAATTTAAAATGGTATTGCAGATATCTCTTATACTGTTTTCTATATTTTTTAACCTTTTCTCTTTGTAATTTAGTCAAAATTCTTCACTAACCATTATACTTTCTAAATTCTTCTTTTAAAATAAAATAATCTACATTTATTTTATTTATTTAATTTTTACTTCAGAATTTTCTTTTTTTATTTTAAAGAGAAAAAAGATAAAATTACAATGAAACAGTTTCAAAATAGGTTAGTAGATCAGTTATGATAATTAATACATTGAGTACTTCACTCACTTTAATAAAATTATATTTGTTTTATTTTCAATTTTTTCCATTAATTTCTTTTCGAAACTTATATAAAATGTAGCTCTCTGATGAAATTCTCCACTGTGTCAACTATTTTTCTGAGCATTATACTAATACTAAATACTACATGTGAAATTTTCAGAGATATCTTATAATCCTATTTTTTTATGACCGGTTGTGATGGTGAGATCACTGTAGTTAGGGACTGAAGTAGGTGGAAGTTAGATTTCAAGGTTTGGTGGAGAGGGAGGTTGTTCTATTTCTAGTTTGCCTTGCTTTTTGAGTAGCCCTTCAAGACTGTCTGCTAGAGGTTTTAGTTTTTTGTTTCTTTCTTTGTTTTTTACCAAGACCATTCCACCTTCATGGACCTTGAAATCCAAATTTTGACTTACAACATTTGCAAATACCAAAAAGTCTGCTTAAAGTTAAAAAATAGATTTTAATTTTTTAGAGTACTTTTTTGTGTCACAGAAAAACTGGGTAGGGCTTTCCCGTATGCACCCTGCCCCCACTGAATTGTCTGCATTTTATCAACCTTACCTGTTGGAGTAGCACCTTTATTATAAATGACAAATCTACACTTACTCATTGCTGTCACTCAACACCCATGGTTTACATTAGGGTTCACTTTTAGGTAATGTATATTCTTGGCTTCGGAAAAATGTATAATGGCATGTCGCTCTCATTATAGTAGCATACAGAGCAGTTTCTTGGCCCTAAAACTCTTGTGCTATACCAGTCCATTTTTATTCCCCCCAACTTCTGCCAACTACCAATCTTTCTTTACTGTCTCCATAGTTTTGCCTTTTTCTTGCCATCGTATTGTTGAAATTATGTAATCATAATTATATCAGACTTCCCTGGCTTCTTTAACCTAATAGTATGCATTTCAGTTTCCTCCATGTCTTTTCATAGCTTGACTCATCTCTTTTTGCCAGTGAATGATATTCCATTATGCAATGTATCACAGCTGTATTGGTACCATTCACCTACTGAAGAGCATATTGGTTGCTTCCAGATTTTGGCAATTATGAATAAAACAGCTAGGAAAATTGTTGTGCAACTTTTTGTGTGAACAGAAATATTTAACTCCATTGAGTAAACAGCAAGGAGCATGACTCAATCTTGACTTTATAATTTCAATAGTCTTATTTTTCTCCCTGGAAGTTATTTTGATGCTTTCTTAAGTTAGCATATTTTTTTCCTGGTATTTCCTTCTCACATTTTTTATTATGTCCTTTATGATTTTAATCATTTAAAATGTACTTATTTTGTTGTTTTGTACTCATTTGATTTTCTGAAATATTCAGGGGTCTAAATTCATTGTGTATTATCTGCTGGTTTTTAGTTTACATATTCTGCTATGCAGTGCCCCAAAAGAATTTATCAACTGAATACCAAGTTCTATGTTAATTCATTGACTTGTGATTTCTGAGGCCATGCAGTTACCATTGAATTTCAACCATGAGAAGAAAGACATGGTTATAAAGCATGAAAGGAAATTTTTTTTTCAGAGTTCAGACTTACAGAGATGAACCTCCTTTTCATTTTTTTACTTGTGAGAGAGTATCCCCCAGGTTATCCTTTCACTTATAGTGTGGGCTACAGTGCATGTAGGTTCATAATTTTATGTATGCATATTACTTCCACCTCTCAGCACTACTTGAGTGCAAGGTTTGAGCTCTTGTTTCTGTATGGCCATTAGAGGCAGCCTCTTAGTCTACAGAGTGCAGCAGAGACCAAGGCCCCAGAGAAATCTGCGTAGGCCCTTCCACTGATTTTGTTTCTTTTTCTATAATATTTAGGGGATTTATTTCATTTTCTTGTGATCTCAGCTAAGATCTTATGTAAAGATCTTTATATACTTTAACACTTTTAGTTTCTTTTAATTTTAGGCAGAGATTTTCATATAATCTGGTTTTCCATACTTCTTGAAAGTCTTAAACTGACATAATTTACATGGTAGGCTTAGCAAAACTCAATAAATGTTACCTATTATACATCATCATTATATTATCTTCACAAACATACAAATCCTAAACATTTGGATAATAAGATACTAGAAAACTTTATGATAATTTGCCTATCAACTGAGGACATGGTTATTGGATATAGTACTATAGAAGTTGATTGTAAAAACAATGTAATCTAGCCTATTGTGATGGTTAAACCGTATGCCCTTTCTCCCAAGTATGTATGCTCCTCTTTTTAAAACCTGTGTTTTAAAAAAAACCCTTATTTCCCCAGGGAAGCTAGAAAATATTTATAACTTTGTGCTTTTAAACATTGAAATCTATACCTATTGGAACCACTTCACATATAACCAAATATGCTGTATGATTTAAATCTGTATTTAAAAATTTTGTGTCTTGCATGAAACTGGATATCCTTTTTTGCCTTTTACAGGAGGATACTTCATCGAGACTTGAAGTCAAAGAATATATTTCTGAAAAATAATCTACTTAAAATTGGTAAGTTTTTTTTAAATGGGACCGTATATTCTAGATGTATATCAAGTTGAAGTACATGGCACATGGAAATGTTAGAGTAATTCTTTTTTATTTTCAAAGTTTTGTTTTTATATGGGTGGGCCCAACAAAATCCAATTGTCTTTTTACTGATTATCTGATGTAAATTGAGATATAGAACATTTATAATTTACTTGCTTAACAAACATTCTTTGAGTTGTTATTCCATACCAGGCACTTTGCAAATTGTTAGATGTTTTTGTTTTGCTTTACTGGTTTGATTTGTTATTGTAGGTTTCTTACTTTTATTACAAGCAATAAGTCTTTCTTTCTTTCTTTCTTTCTTTCTTTCTTTCTTTCTTTCTGTACTGGGGATCAAACTTACAACCTTACACTTGCCAGGCAGGTCTTTGTGCCATTGAGCTAAATTCCCAGCCCTGCGATAAATATTCCTTATAGATAATTAACATGTTGGCATAATGGCTTTGTTAGTGTTTATTTCTTTAGAACTGTACTTCTACTTCCGTTGTTCCTGGATTGTCTAAGCATCATGTAGCTGTTCTTAGTGAGTGAAGGAATTAAAACATGCAACAGATTAGGCAGGAAGAGAGAAGCCAATGCACTCACATTGTTTAGGTTTTTTCTTTAAAATTTTTATTTACTGTAAATTAAGGACAAAATCTTCTTCCTTGGATAAAATTGCATATCGTCATTTTCAGTCCTTCCAGAATCACTCCATTTGTCGTTATTCAGACTTGAAATAGCTTTTTACATTGTTACCTAGCTCTCTATAAATTCTGTAAGTATAGAATTTTAAATTACATGTAAATTCCCTTCCCTGGTTCAAAAGCTGTTATTTCCTGTAAAGTTTATGTTTTTCTTTTTTATTGGTACCGGGGATCAAACTCACGATTGCCTGCTTGCAAGGCAGGCGCTTATGCTGCTGAGCTAAATCCCCAGATCCTAAAGTTTATGTTTTTACAACCATTGTATAATTTAAAGTATCATTTTTCCTCCCCTTTAAAATGATATGATGATGCATTGCATAATGAAATAAGCCAATTGGACACTTATTCACCTGTTAATTTCCAGTGCTGAAGTTTTTGTTTAAAAGCATTCATAAAGATTAATTATTACTTTAAGGGGATTTTGGAGTTTCTCGACTCCTAATGGGATCCTGTGACCTGGCCACAACTTTAACTGGAACTCCCCATTACATGAGTCCCGAAGCTCTTAAACACCAAGGCTATGACACAAAATCGGACATTTGGTGAGTGGGCAGTGGGCAATTGGGTGCTGTGAGTGGGCCGACGTGGGGGCTTCTTCCTCTTCTGCCCGAGAAATAACGATTCATTTCCTTTTAAATTCATATACTTACTACATTCACTCTCTTTATCCTCTTGACATTTGAATCATTTTGGATCAGAGTAAAAAAAAGGCCTTTGGGTTTGGAACTTGCTATATTCCATTAAATTCATTTCAAAAATTCTCTTTATACACAGCTTAATTGGTTGGTTTAGATTTTTAGTTCCTGAGCCACAGAGGAAAGTTATTAATGTGCCAGAAGCATTAAATTTTGATGTTTCTGTTAACCTATGAAATAGAGCATTAGTAATTCCAAATACTGTGCTTTTACTTTAAGGTTAATATCCAACTCTGTAGGGAGATAAACAGAATTTCTGCATTTTTTATTTTTTGCCATTTTAAAGAATTTTACTAAAGATATTTGCTTTATGGAAAACCTAAGTTTTAAATTTCTGAGGTTTTAGTGATAGATGCATGTGAGATTTCTCAGTTTCTGTAGCTTTTGTATCAAAGCAATTTCTCTATCCTGTTATGGATCCAGTTTAAATATTTCTGAAGAAGCCATGTAGAAAATGACACTCAGTAAGTCCTTGTGTGAGCAGTGGATCTTATTTGGGGAATATTTCTTTACTTTGAAGCACAATTTTCAGCTCCTTAAGGGTTGAAAAAACAGTCTAGCAGAGAGCTTGTTAATTAAGTAAATAATTATTGTATGCAAATCAACATAAGTAGTTCTAAGCTTTCAAAGAGGAGCAGTGTGAAAGATGTGCCCACTTCAATTTTCTACAGAAAATAAAGTAGAAAATTATCTTTTCTCTGGTTAGGGAAGAGTGAGCCACAACTGAGAATAGGGCCTGGGATTTTTATAGAGGTCACTGCTTCTGTTCTTATTTGGGTGCCTTCCAAAGAGGAGAGAACACTGTTAGGTTGAGGCTGGACTGTGGCAGTTCCTCATGAATCTTGTTTCTCCAGTTCAGTTTTGTGGTTGTTTTTAGCTTCTTCGGTAGATTTTTTCCCCCTTATCTCATTTCTTCTCATTCACCTATTATTTTCCTTATCCTTTCCCCTCATTCTCCCCATCCTCCAAAAGAAGTAAAAAAGAAAACCAACTGGACATAAACTAAAAATTTGGAACCAGAAAAACTGATTATTCAAAGTAATGAGGCTCTGTAAATCTGGCTTCATTCAGCATTTTACTGTTATTTCAGAGTGTTACAGTAGCCCTTAGGGTATAAATGCAAAAATGATAGAATTCTTTCACTTTATGAAAAATCTTGATCAGTGTTGGGCTTTGGATCGAATCTCTTTATATGCCTATATTTCTCTTCACAATTTTAAAACTTATGGCTATTTAAATAGATTCAAGTACCTAATGTCTTCATGGTTTAAGAGGGTACTTCAAGAAGATGTTATATTGTGCCCACCATTTAAGTTTTTGGGATTACACATACAATGTACCCTGCTCCTTTTGATAAGGTGCCTGTATCAGTGGGCGGGCTCAGAGGAGTATTTGCTAGGATACTGGGGAACAGAACCCACAGAGAAAGAGGAAAATGTGGAGTCTTTTTGTCAGTTGTATTAGTGCACAGTACTTCTCTTTTACAAATTGATCCTGCTATTGCATGAAGAATTATGGGGATATCAGGCAACAGTGCTGTCATGTTTTACAGTTATAAAAATATTGATTCAGACACAACTTAAAGCAGCCCAAGCTTCTCAAATATCAAAATCCCAGCTCTAGACCAATTCTCATTGCCATGATTCTTAACCTGTCATCTAATACAAGCATCACACCTTGATTCTGAATAACCACCTTATTATGATTTTTATAATTATCTTACTTATATCTAAAGCAAAATGGTCTTACCAGTAATGGAATTTCTACTGCCCAGCTCAAAGTAGAAAAATTAACAGAAAGCCATTAATTATAATGAGAGATACATGAGTATTATTAGTAATTTTGGGGAGATGCTCCTGAAAAAATTAGATTGAGGTTGATAACTTGTCTGTGCATTTTTCCACTTATTCAGGAATATTTTCTTAGGATTAGAAACATTTATGAATAACTGACAGATGTTCTGCTTTTGTTGTAATAGCCAAATATATCTATAAGTTAAAGAAGAACTGGTCTGATACTAATTATATCTTCATTTGCTAAAGTTTTGCATTTGCAACCTCATCTTTGTTCTGCAACCCTTTAAACCTTTCTGGATTCAGTTCCTTACAGCATTCAAGGACAAGAAATCCCTCTCTTAAGAATAGGTTAGGTTATATAAGTTTATAAGCAGTTAATGGAAAGTTAGGATAAGTTCACCGAAGGACAATGCTTTGGATAAAACTGATTTGTATTAGCAATTGCTAAGTACTTTTCTATTCAAGAGGAATATAAATATGAGTTGGGTTACTAGGCCAATTCTTGAATTGACTTAAACTATAAATATTTAGAAGATACAATTTAAAAAATTTACTTGATGGTGCTTTCCATCTCCAGAGTTTCCATTTGATTTTTTAATGTAATTTGTCTCTTTATTCTCTATTCGATGTGATATTCATCATACTTTACTTTTTAAAATGTTTTATTTTTTTAGTCCTTTGCATACATTTATAATGGCTGTTAAAATCTTTGTTAAATCTAATATCTGGACATTCTCAGGTATTACCTCTTGTCTGCTTTTTTTTTTTTTTTTTACAGTTTACAGGTCAAACTTTCCTGGCACTGTGCATGTCTCACACATCTGGAGAACTGGACATTTTAGATTGCACACAATAGCTACTGTAGACATTTCTTCTCTCCTCATCCTCCACAGTATCCCCCTGCCCTGAGGCTTATTTGTTTATTTATTCATTAGTGACTTGCCTGGATATTTTATTAACATCTATTTCTCCTGCATTAGGAAGCCTCTGGTGTTCTTCAGAGTGCAGTGCTGGACGCATCCACGTTTATCTTGGGATGGTTGCAGCATCCATTCTATTTGTCTCTTTTCTTATTCTCTCTGATAAGCTGTCTTCGCTCTGTTAAAATCACACCTAGCTCTAGTTAGCACACTTCACCATCAATTTCTTCAGCTATATGTTGCTTCTTAAAGTTAAGGCTTAACTGAGACCAGTCATTCCATAGGAGGTCAAATTGGGATACTGGGTATTTTCTCTAAGGAGCTTCTCAAGCAAGGAAAGCATGTGGCTATTACAGCCTGCAAAGAACCTAGGGTTCTGAGCAGAGAGGCTTCTTTGGAAGGGAGCACAAGGTAAAGTGCTCCCATGATTCTTAGGGACATATGGCGGATTGTGTTTTCCAAAGATGGTGGTCACAATGTATCACATTTCATATGTTCATTTTGAACATGATGTTGATGCTGCTCTTAATTGAGAAACTGAGAAATTGAGGTCTGTGTTGTTTCACCCTTTATTTTGTATAGCCTGTGATAATGGCAAAAATGATGCTATGGGACTTATGAATTTAGATCATAAGAGGTGACACAGCTTTTGCTTGGTTTCATTAAGATTATTGTCCTTGAGAAAAAGCTATCATGTTGTGAGGAAGCCTGAATAGCACAACAAGAGATCAACACTAACTGGTCAGCTGTCGGGGAGAGCCACCGCATGAGTCTCTCCAGAATACGCAGATTCTGTAAAGAGTGAATTCAAGGTTTCCTGTTAGTCTCTAAACAAATAGACTCATAATCAAAATTATTTATTATTATTTTAAGGCACTAAACTGTAGCGTGTTTTGTTATGTAGCAGCAGTAACTCTCCTTGGGTCAGAAAGCAGGAGTTAGAAGCAGTGAAACCTGGACTTCAGCTAAAAACAATTTTCCTTGTACCTCAGACTATACACTTCATTTCTCCAGCACCCCCAACTTTTACTTTCTTACCACACCAACCTGACCTCAGCCCAGCCCAACTCTTGCCCAAACCTGCATAGGTAGCTACCTCCAGTCTCATCTCTCTACTATTCATACATTTTAGTGTATTGGAATCAGCTTATACCAGCTCACAAGACCATTATCCCCACTTTTAAATTCAATGTTCAGTGACAGCACATTGGTAACGTGAAATCAGACATGGTATTTACACTATAGAAAGCAATAAATGCTATAAATTAGGGTTTCCTCTGCTCTTTTAGGAAGCCAATTTACTAGGATATTTAACACCTTAGCTTTATCCCCTACCCTGCCCCAGGTGGTGTTTATGATGTCTTTCTCTGGAAAGGACATCAAGACATGTAAATTGTGGTCTCTGTGCTCAAAGAATTGCCAGGCATATAGAAACTTTTTGTGCTGTTATGCTGTTATTGCATAATACAAGGATCTGGAGTATAAAGAGGGGAGAGACTGAGTATAAAAGGTGAGAACCACGAACATCAGCTACATTCCCAGAGGGCTTTCTCTGACTGTTGAAGACCCTGGGAATGCTGAATGTAAGCACATATACTCATGAGAAAGCTCGATGTCTCTGATTAGCTGGAGGTCAAAGTATGTATGTGGCAAAAGAGGAGGGATAGTTTTGACTAAAAGCCAATTGGGTTCAAATACTAAATGTAATCATGCTAAGGAGTATGGGTTTATCTTTGGGAGGATGAGAAGCTGCTAATGTGGCAAGGAGGTGGTGTATTAGTCAGCTTTGTTGCAAAAACAAAGAGCTTAGCTATGTAAACCATTCATTTTTTTCACCTTTACTAAGGACCTCCTTAGGTTAAATGAATCTCTACTCTGACAGAATTGTGGCGCAGCTGAAAAGATAAGAAGTATGAAATATAAATGACCTTTATTTTAAGAATGTGGGGAGAGACCCCCCCCCCCGACCCACTGGGGTCCGGCATAGTCCCCAGGGGCTGGCATTCTCTGCAGGGTCTGGCAATCTCTCTCCAGGGTCTGGCAATCTCTCTCCAGGGTTGGCGATCTCTCCGTAGGACCCGTGGAGTGGGGGCATACATGTAGCTTAGGTTTGGGATGGAGCCTAAGGGGC